TGTAATCCATTCCACTTACTTCTTTAGATTAAATCCATCCCACTTCCTCCTTGTGGTGGAAACCATCCCACTTCCTCTTAGCGATGGAATCCATTCTACTTCCTTCTTGTGGTGGCCGAGTCCATCCTGTTTCCTCAAGGTGGATTACATCCCACTTCCTCTTAGCGATGGAATCCATTCTACTTCCTTCTTGTGGTGGCCGAGTCCATCCTGTTTCCTCAAGGTGGAATACATCCTATTTTCTACAGGTGGAATCCATCCCAGTTTCTCCAATTCATCCTACTTCCTCCAGGCAGAGTCCATCCCAATTCTCAAATGTGAAATTTCAAATTCATCCTCCTTACTCCAGGTGCTCCGTGGAATCCTTGTCTAGGTAATATTCTCCGGCAACTTAACCAGGGGCGGCCTACGAAATTTTTCATGAGAGGGGGGGGCAAATTACATATTTAGCCTGAGGCGAGCTTATGTTTACTACTGCATCAGATAAAAAGATGGACAGTGAAAAGGATGAGTCTTTGCCACCAACTTAGATTTATCTTTTGTACCCAATGATGCACACCTTAGATATTTCAAACTATTAATTCTGTTAGATAAAAAAAATATAAGTTTGAAATATCAAATGCTTTAAAGCATCAGGTTGCAAAGATATAAAGATTGTTGAATTTGAGTTTGAGGAAAAGACTCAAATCCTTTATATCTATTTTCTGTTTTGTTTATTTTGATCTTCAATCTAATTGGAAAACAGAAGGTTACATCATCCTTTGTGAATAAAACTAAGAATTAAATGCTATAATTAAGGCTGCAATCACCATCACCAAGAGTCATGCCCGATAAAATGTAATCAAATCCTTTTTTATTCAAAAATGAGAACCTAGCTTTACTTGGAAACTAAATTTTGTTAAAATAATCAACGTTTTTGGCTTAGAATTTTAAACCAAGCTAATTGAAAAGTCTCGTGGTTCATCTGGCAAATTGGTCAAGGAGTTATGAGTTATGATCGGACACACAAACAAACTACTTTATATATTATGCATTGCTAGATATAGTTTTACTTAAAATTTTTCAAATATGACTTTCCGTCTTCCAAAGAAAAATATTCAATATTAAAAAGAAACTCCAACAAGAATTTCACACAGGCATGATAAAACGAAAAAAGGATGAATGATTTATGTTTGACAAACAATCTAGATTTTATGAAAATGATAATGATAAAAATTGATCTTGAGGATTTTTGGTTGTTTAAGGTTTTAAATCGTTTTACACAATTTGTTTTAAAGGTGCATTGATTAACTTTTTTTCTAAACTGCAAACAATCTAAAAGCAAAGATGAGACGATCATATTTTAAAACAAGTAGTCAATAAATATTTTTTGTCTTTCTAATTTCTAGAGTCCCTGGCTAACCATCGCTGCAGTATTTAATGAGGGACTAATACCTAAAGTGGAACTGCAGGGAAATCTTTTGTATCCGTTCTTAAAAATCAAATTTAAAGGCCTGGAAGATGGCTTTCTCACTAGTTGCGCCCCAAATTTTTACAGGAGTAGATGGATCCCCCCCCCCCTCCCCAATTTTTACTTCACCGGCCCTGCACAATTGCAGGACTAACTCGAAAAAACCGGATTTTATCAGCCAATCTATAAGTCCCGGGCCCAATGATAATATCATGGATTCATGCGCCCCGCCCTTTTACTATCCCTCCCCCCACTCCACACCTTTCCCTCGTCGACCTTGCTCAATAGTATTCTAGCTCGACTGAAGACTCTAATTATTCGGAGGATCCGCATTTGAACTACTGCAGCCGTATAATTGAACTATAATTGATCATTTGAATTCTATTGATTGTTTTGTTACTAAATTGTGACGTCATTTCCTGTAGTTCATACAATACATTTACTCAAATTTGAACTATTAAATATGCAGTTTAATTTTTTTATATATGTTTCATGAAACAATACATTATCATCACAAAATAGTTTACATGATCATGACTATATTTAACCATAGAGAATAGAATATATAGAGAGGAATTAAAAGAATCTCTCGGTATGAATATTTTCAGTCCCTTTCAGCCTGAAAGGGAGTTCAAAGTGTACAAATCATGTAAATGTTCACAAATTATATGCAGTAGAGTACATTAATACAGTATGTTCCCTAGACTATTCATTTCAATTTCGAAATTTTTTAAGCTGTTAAATAAACTTTATAATGAATTAGGTGAATAAATTAACATCATTTGATTTATAGTTATAACGGAAAATCATCGTTTGTAAAGTGGAAGGCATAGAGTCTATGTGAAATGGTCATTGGTCAATTATGAAACCAGCCTTTCATTATTTGGTTTTCTTTTAACAATAATTTTAGATTTTCTATAAAATGATATTCCAGGGCCCAACAGGTTATATAGCATAAATATACACCTGCAGGAAACAGCTTACAACAATTAATGGCCGTTTTACACTTTTTTCTGGTAAATTCCTCTCTATATATTCTATTCTCTATGTATTTAACGTATATGGACATAAAAATAATATTAAAATAATAGTTCAATCGAGCGCTGCGGCTAGGACATGGTATAGAGGGAGCCGGGCGCTGCGGCCAAATAACCAATAATATTAATTATTGGTCAACTTTAATTTAAATTGGTTCATTTGAACTGTTTTTGCTCAAGTCATGTGAACTATTTTTTTGGATCATTTGAACATATTTTTGCTCGTACAGAACTATTTTTTTGCTCATTTGAACTCTTTTTTGCTCACTTGAACTATGTTTTGCTCATTTTAACTATTTTTAAAGCTCATAGAACCATTTCTTTTGCTCAATTGAATATTTTTGGCTCATTTTAACTAAATTGTTGGCTCATTTTAACATAAATTTTTCGGCTTGTCCAATGAACTTTTTATATAAATATAGTTCAAATAAGCCAAAAAATAGTTCAAATGCGCACAGAATTCTATCGTTTGAACATATATTGGTCGAATTGAACTACTACACCTGGTATAACGTGCAATAGTTCAAACGACCAATAGTTCATACGGTGCAGTAGTTCAAACAAACTAAATAGCAATTATTCTGATTATTATTCTTATTAGTTCTATTAAGCAGAGTAAGCCAGGAAACTGGTTCTTCTACTGACGTAGGCACAAAACAGCTGTTCGGCTCAGTTTAGATTAAACTTCCGTAGTTCTGACTGCGATTTGTGAAAGTGAGGGTTAACATTAATGCTTTTCAACGAAACATAAGAACAAAAACGCTATACGTTGGATTAATTAGACGGTTAGTAATGGGATCAGTTGAACATGAAAATTAAAGTTTTATTTGTTTTAATATTATATTTGTAATGATTAACGGATAATTATGTTTGGTAAACACTATATGAACACTTACGTTACATTGATTAAGAGACCATGGTTAGGAATTAGCATTTCGATTATCGAATGGAATCCTTAATCTTATAAATTAAAGCAATCATTTTTTCTACAGTGTACTTTTGTAATAAAATGTTTGCTTATATTATTTCATTTTGATTTAAAACCATCTTTTGCCTATTTAAAAATATCGAATAACCTTTTCAGGGTCAAAATAATGGTATATTCCTAGAGAACGATTTTTGGACCCCCCTTCTCTAGGACAGACCCAAAATAATCAATATTTTGGGTCCTCCCTACTAAACGATTTTTGGACCCCCTCCCCCGAGGTATACTGTTGTTAATTGGATTGGATGGCTTAAATATATTTTTTTCAAACATGTGACTGATACCTGATCACACAATCGGTGGCAGCTGTGTTGAAATCTCAAACTTTTCTATGTAATTCAGTAGGTCATTATCGTAACAAATGACAAATATTTATAAAATCTACGAGATTACATCTACATTGTCCCATTAAAAATGGGATAAATTAACGACTTCAAATGCCGTCTTTGATTCAAGAGGGATTATTTCGTAGTTATGATATTCAAGTCTTATCTCATTTCCCATGTTAATTTTGTGACACGTAGGTAACTTAAAATGTGCACGTTATGTGCTGAAACTTCCATCAAGAGTTTAAAAAAATCCTTGATACTAAAAGTGGGTCTGTCTTACCCCAAAAGTCCTGATATAACAGTATAAATCGTTCTCTAGGACAGTCCCTGAATGTTTTTAAATCTTTGAGGAAATAGATGGCCTTGAAATGATGTAGCAAGTTCTATTTTGATGCACCATTTTTTCTTATTTCAATTTTGTTTAGTGAATATTGAAATCCATTTGAGATTATCGGATTAATTCAAGGGTTTCTAAAATTTATGAAGTGGTGTGTACGTTTTCATCTAATTGAATTTGAATGAGAATAAAGGGTTTCGTGGATAATATATTACTGAGAAAAATAAAATTGCAAAATTTACTGAACCGGGAAGAACTTCGGTAACAATTATCTGAAAGCACCTAAAGAATATTGGATTAGTTTTCTGTCAAATTAATTAAAGAAATGTGAAATATTGCAACTCTAATCATAACTATATATCTACGTAATTTTGTGGTATCCGCTCTTATGATATAATCTCATTTACATCATTAAGTTCAATGTCTGGAGTATTGCTTAGTTTTTATGTAACCACGTTACAATGTACATTTAATTAATTTTTTCGCCTTTGTCAACATAACCGACCTGTGTTTCCCCCATCAGAGGGACGTTACGTTACTTCATGTCCCTTGGGGCAATTAAGTAAAATAACTTAAATAATTTTTACTTGACCACGGGTTCCCTCGACCAATTTTGCCTGCAACATTCTGCGCTCTGGATGTTTTGTAGTAAGAATTGGTCTTGGGAACACAATGTAAAGTAAAATTCCCTTATTTCCCTGTAAAGTAGTTGTAAATAATTATTACTATGATAAGCTGTGATATTTAAACACTCTACGTCCTTTTTAGGTTTCTTAAAAACTGTGATAATTGGTTCACAATTCATAATATATATCTGAGCCTACGCCCTATATTTCCACCAAATAAATAAGGATATGTTTAGGTATGTTTTCGGGATTTTAACGTTCAAATCGAACTTGCTATGGACTCGGTTATGCTCAAAGATTGTAGCTGATAACGGTAAATGTCCATTTTCTTGTCTAATATAAAAGCTATTATTGTTTCTAATATTAATAATATTAAGATCTCAATCTTCTCAAGCTTTTAGTGTGAAATATATCCAAGACGAGCAACTGATAGGTCAGGATAATGTAAAATGTAAGATAAAAGATCAAGTTTGTATACCCCCCCCCCCCCCCCCCCCC